GCTGCGCCGAAGAGCCGCCGCGCCGCATCCCGGCGTGGCCGCCCCGTCCCGCATCGGGGCCACCGCGCGAGGAGATGAGAATGCCCCACCGCCGCCGGCGCCAGCCAGGCTTTGCCTAGCCGCACCCTGTGGCGGCGGCGAGGGGGAGGAGCGGGGTGAAGGAGGCCTCTGGCGGCGGCGATGTGGTCACCCTCCCCGTCGCACGCGGGGCGACGTGGGAGGGATATCAAATGGATAGGTAGCTTGCCTTCCTAAATAGTTGGATTTGGTATGCACATTGTACTGTTACAGTCCTCATGAGTATAGACTAGCACATATGCCCGTGCTTGCAACGAAAGAAAATTATTTTTGTGAGAAGCAACAAGAAAGATAATTGATGTGTTCATCAAATATAGTCTCCGCAGCGAGGAGCTGTAGTCTTCTCACTATTGGTGCCTGCCCGGCGACCTTGCTTCAATCACTCTCTCATACGATGGCATAACCGGATGGATTACTAATCGTAACGCATAAATTCCGTTTCATTAGCATAACCAGACGTGCATGTCCCTTCTTTATTATGGTTTATCTCGGCCAGCACACTAGCAGGCACCAAAACATACTGTGTTTGTAAGGCACGAGTAGAACTTCGAAAAAAAGGCACGTTGAAGAATCAAACTGGCACAAAGACTCGACCACGTAGCGCTAGCCATTCAAACAAACTGGTCCTGCTAGTCCATCGCCAGCGCAAATATCTAAGACATACAACAGTGTAAGATTTGAAACATTTTTTTCTTTTTTATTGATTCTTTCTGAACTTTTCAAAATAATAATCATAACTATGAATTGCCAAATATTTTTTAAACGTGAACAGTTTTTGAAATCCCAAATATTTTTTAAAAATGTGAACAATTTCTTGAAAATTCCATCCATTTCGGGAAAAACACAAACAAAATTCTAAATGAGAACATTTTTTGCAGTTAAAACAAAAAAATTGAAAACATGAGAATAAAAACACAAACACTTTTTGAAATTCCGAAGAATTATTAAAAACGGGAACATGTATTGAACATTCCAAACAATTTTAGAAAATGCTTCTTTTAATGCAATCAGTTTATTTAATTATTTAATATTTCAATAAAATAAGATTATTTTTCGAATTTATAAAAAATAAATGCATTTTTAAAATTCTTGATAAAGGGGGAAAAGTGAAAATAAATTTGGAAGGAAAAAAGGGAAAATAAATTTGGAAGGAAAAAAAGGGGGAAAGGAAAAATAAACTTGGAAGGAAAAAAAGAAACAGGAAAGAAAAATATAAAGGAACAGAAAAATAAAAATAGAAAAACACAGATAAATATAAGCGGGTCGGCTAGTCTTGGGCGCCCATGCGAAGCTCCAACTATTTACCGCATAGTGCGGCAAATAGGGTTTTCCCAGCTGCATGGGCAGGAAAATAAGTGGGCTGGCTTCTCTAGGCCACAGCGCACGTGACCCACGTACGAAATTCTAGACAAACAATTTTTTCAGCAGACGGACACACAAAATTTGCTACCACATTGAATATATATTTTTCCTTTTCGATGATGAACGGATCAAAAAATTGAAGAAATGCACCTCCCTTTACTATTAAATTAGGTATAGAAGGTTCTCTATTTTTCTTGTGTTGTCCTCATGAGTGCAGTACATTCGATGATTCAGCTAGGTGAGCTGCTGCTCCTCGCAGTAAGACCAAATTCTTCATTTTTCAAGAGTCGCGTTGATGCTCAGGTTCAGCATGTAAGGGCATTTCTAATCGATCCCCAATCAGTCTTAGAGGTGTAAAATTATTCTCAGTTGTTGAGGTTCTCCCTATATTTACTCTGCCGCTCGGCAGCTGAGAAAAAAAATATCCCACTCTCCTTCCCCTTCTCTGCCTCCCCTCTCACTCCCACCTCCCTGCCGCCGTTCCCCGCCGCCCCCTCTCCCCCCAATGGACGGACAAGGTGGCCGGAGGGCCCCATCGCCGACCCGCAGCGCGGATCCGCGCCGCCATGCCCGCAGTTTGTCGTCTAGGCACATCCTCGAGCCGCCGCTGCCACACACCCGACCTGTCGGCCCCCACCCGGTTCGCCGACTTCCCGGACCTCCCTCCGCCGCGGGTGCCATAGAGGACATAAATCGGCGTCTAGCAGCGCGCATGGGGGACAAGGGTGGCGGAGATCACCGATCGGGAGACCCACATGAGGAAATGGCTTGGGTCATTCCACACGGCGGAGCTCGCAACGATGGAATACGACCAGTGGCAAGTCCGGTTCCGCGGCTCCACTGCGAGGTTCAACTTCCCATTTGGGATGGCACCGGTCCACCTCGTCCCGCCGATGCCGGATGTGGTGAGTGCAACGATGGCTCAGGAGGACCGAGAGGTGATGGAGCGCCTCGAGGCGGAGGCCGCCGACGTGGCGTACATGCCAGACCTCCGCTGCAAGCAACCCGAGCTTGTGGAGGTGGAGCGGCCGGTATTCGTCGACAATGGCAGGGAGGTCATCGTCATCTCCGACGATGAGGTGCAAGACGGCGAGAAGGGCGGCAAGGAAGGCAGTGAGGAGGAGCAGGATTTCTACGTCGAGGAGTGGCACTGGGCCTGATCCATGTCTCACTGGTGGTGGCCTGCCAAGGAAAGATTGGCTCGACCTCCACTATGGCTGATGAGTAGTCTAGTGTACTTTAAATTTGAATTTAGGTTTAATGTTCGGTTGTCAAGACTATGTTGAACTTATGTTTAAATGCCCTAAGCTGTTGTCAAGACCAAGACCGAGCAGTGTTTAGAATACAAAGTAATGACAATAAAACAATAACTTACACCCACAACAAGATCACATAAGGCATATGTCGTATGACGATCCTCGACACATAAATAAATATGTGGACGTCAAAGATATTTTTCACTATGTTTCCACATTCCTTGAAAAGATGATATTGTCCTTTCTATATGCAGAATATGGAAACAAAATTTGTATAGAATGTCATCGACTTCTTATACAACTTTTTCAAGCATTGTGTTGCTTGGCATTGCGCCACAGCTTCAGTAATCAACACCAATGACTCCACCAAGTAAAACAATGCACATAAGTATCCATAGAAATTTCTGATAATATCTCCTTAGGTGCACTAAATCTGTCCACAAATCATAGTTATCATAGAAATCTATGATTATAATTTCGAGCTAGTTTCAACTTTGCAAATTTGGTAAGACCACTTTAATGAAATTTAAAAAAGAAAACATTTTCTTTTGTTCAAGTGATTAAATAAATAATGAGGTTTTCGCAGTGTCAGCTACAAAAGTAAACCATTAATACATTGAGATTGCTAAAGGGAAGTACCTGAGAACATATGTTAAACGAGGTATAGAACATGGATACCATAAGGCTTGTTATTACAATGTACTCAAGCCAACATGTGCATTGATCCAGTCACCAACTACTAATGAATTTACCCAATGAACTTTGCACCGTGAAGTTGTTTAAGAGAAGTTCATAATGTTGCAATGGTGTTAACATTCTCGATATATGGTACCATGTTTTCAACATAGCACTGTCTAGTGCTAACAAACCTACATCTGATTTGGCCAGTATAAAATGCAAGTTCCCACTAGGAAGTTGCTCAAAAAAGTTGATCATGCCACAATGGATGAATGTACTAACAAAGAAATATTACACCAAAGAAATGATTCACTTTCATTTGAAAGACATAAGTCATAAAATGAACAGTAAATACATTATGCCGATCCACTGAGATGTTTGAACGAATTTTAAAAGCTTCATTGTATGAAATCTACTAACCATCCACTTGAAGTCATAACTCTACATACTTAAAAGGCAAATAATTTTGCAGCCCATATTGGAGTAAGATGATCATCCCGGCCGGCGATCAACACATAATAATTGAGTAGAATGTTCAAATGATGACATGGTGCAGATTTGTTCTTCCAAAATAAGGCATGAGAATCTCATCTTTCACCACAGATGCTTGATCCCAATTATTTTAAATTTTAAACTCCACCTAGTCCCCATATCTTGTCGGGACTAGTTCTTAGGGTGAAAACCTAGATCCTGACCTCGGGTCGTTCAATCCGGTGAAGGAAGCATTTGAGCGCCGCTCCCTTCCTGAAGGCGTCTTTTTTTGCGTGGGCCCTTCCTAAAGGCGTTGTTGTTGAAGAACCTCGCCGTCCGTGTGGTGTCATGAGATGCTTGGTGCGGCTATGATCATTGCTATAGTTTGCCAATCACAGATCTGATCACTTTTTTGTTGTTGTTGTTGTTTTCATCGTTTACACATAACTTTGGTCTTATATGACTTTGTTAATTGTTGGCATGTTTCTTGTGTTCGTGCGTTTGTGTTGGTTATGTGCATCCTAACTATGCAGAGATTGGGTGTGTGCTCATTGTGTTTGTATCCTCTCGATGCTCCAATTTAAGCCAATAAAACCCATCCTTTGTCGAAAGATATCTTTCAGTGGTTTAATCACCCATGGACGTTTACATTTGTACTCTATTAATCATCTTGCTAACTTAAAATTAGGAGGGATGCTTAGTCAAGGAGGATTAAGATGGCATTTGAGTCCAATCAATTGCTTCATTGCTTGATCTGGTCTAGATAAAAAAAACAGAAGCAAAAAAACAGGGCCAGCAAAGGGGACGGAATCGATCTCTTTATCCTGGACTCTTACCACTTGTTTAGGACTCCCAGAAGGCATCTTAAAATGGTGGCACTAACAAATGGCTTCCAATGGCGGGATGTGCATCATTGTTTTAATCTGCCTAGAGGAGTACACAGGTGTTCAACCCAATGTTCTCATATTATGTGGAACCTTTTTTTTATGCAAAGGCCAGGGGTATTCCCCCTTTTCAAAAAAGAATGTGGAACCTGCTGGCAGAAAACACAGAAACAATTAACCTTCTATTAGACTGTCTTCTGATGGGTTGGGTAAACCAGTGTGCACCTAACTGTTATCTGTTGTTTGATCCAAATACGCAAGCAAGGCTAACAATGATTGGATAACCGTGCAGAGAAGAACAAGAGCTGCTGCTACAACTGCCAAGACCAACCACGGATTCCTGAGATGGTTATGCCACAACCAGGCCATCCATCTATTTACGCGATTCTGATAATAATCTTCCATCATACAGCAAACCGATTTAAGATAGTGTGCACCATTCTGATCAAAGTCCACATTCTTTCCCAGCCTACTGAAAAGAGTTGACACTTCTTCATCGGTGCGCAAGTGGTGCAGGATTATTCCTTTGCGAGCAAGCAGTGCAACATCACATGGTGTACTAACAAGCTGGGAAATAAAAGCGATATAGGCAGTGACATCATTTCCAAACTGCGAGCATGTTTGCTCAAGTGCAACCAAGTTCCTGAAGAGGCAAATGGTATTTTCATCAATAAGCAAGCATGGAATTTGCACCTGACCCTTGTCAAAAGTTATGTCCAAAAGAGATGGTGGGTTGTGTTTGTTGTGCTCTTTGCTCTTAAACTCAATTCCAGCTTCATGATATTGTTTTGCTCGTCGCCACCGATTCAGTGTCTGACAAGAACTTACATGAGTTGTCTGCTGATTGGTAGACAAGTCTTCGAAATAACTCCGGTTGAGATATGTGCGCCACAAAGTAGTGAGAGGATGCAACCATCTGTTTCTAATTTGAAAATGTTGCTCTGGTTGAATCCTTTGTTGAGGTCGGAAGTACATATGACACAACTGGAGCAAGTGGTGGAAGTCTTTTTGCCCATCAAATTTACGAGCAACTGTTGTGTACTTCTGAATATTAAGTTCTAAATATTCACCAATCTTCTCGGTAAGTAGATCTGGAGCATCTTCTCCCACAAGTAACCCATATATTCTCTTCACAATGGAAAATGGTAGTTGGTTCTCAAGAAGAAGTAGGTCACGGAATGCATGGCAGTGATGCCAATCAGAAATCGGGTCACATTTGGGTTGGTCAGGATCCTTCTGATCATTGCATTGTTCGCCTGTACTAATACGGTCAAGTTCCACGCCTTCTGTTGAACATAAATTGGATGATATCCCAGCAAGCAATATCATACTTTCAATGCTTCTTATTCCCTTATGTCATGCATGCTCCGTAATATCCTCCTGTTGTGCTATTGTGTATTGAAGTGGTTCTCTGCCCTGATAATTACCACCAGTTAAATTATGTTCATTAACGCACCAATCTAAGCCATCCATTCCACCAAGATAAACAAGTAAAAAGCATCCATCAAGCAGCATCATTCGCAGGAACATGTCACTTCCTAGAGGAACTTCCTCAGAATAGCAGCTCCTTGCCTGCTTCTCCAGATTCTCCATCGTTGTTAGATAGACCTTCAACTTTTTTCTACAGTTCAGTTTAAGAACATAATCTAAGCAGTTCCATTTTACTTTCTCCATAAACTGCAGGGAAGAATTTCCATGGTAATAAGGCCCAATGGACAACACTTTTGGTTCGTAAGATAACTTGTCAACTTGTTTAATATATTTTGGAACTTGAAAAATTATGTACAATTTTCTTCGCTGATCATGATCTTTGTAGATTGATCGATAGTAAGTTAGCTTCCTTCCCATCAAATTCTCCAATTCATCGATGTTCAGAGTTTCTGCCCTACTAATCTCACCTTGAGCCGTCATTTTAGCAAATAACATGACATTAATTGACGATATCTAGCATGAAGAAACATAGTTAGAGCAATATTACTAAATAATATAGGTAGTAAGAATAGAAGTAGGGAAGGATTATAAGAGACAAGCCTTACGTTTGCACACTGCAATGCAAAGAGGCCGCGCCGAAACCAGAACCTCTTTGCACAAGTGTGGTGTACTCGAATTCAGCATCTCAATATAAGAGCATCTCTAGCAGACCCCGTATAATTGCCGGAACTGCAAAATTCCGGTGATTATACGGGTTTGGGTCGTTTTGTCTGCCAGAATAGACACAGTAAACGCAGCCCGGCCCGTAAAACTTTTGCGGTGGCCCGGAAACGCGCCCCCTCGACCATTAGATGTGCGGTCGGCTGCTGGATATGGGCCCGAACCGTATGCCTTTGCCGCCGCGCAAATCCCCAATCCCTCACCGCCGGTGCCTCGGATCCTCTGCCCACGCCTTCAATCCGCCGCCGTCACCGCCGCCATCGCTCCTCCACCGTGAGACAGAGGAGTACGACCGCGCGCGGGGGTGTCTCTTCTCCGGCACTGGCAGCTCCTCCGGGGCGTC